CGGGATGGTATAAATATCTTACGCTTACTCTATCCGAAAGTTTTTGTTCTTTGCCTCTCCTTGGTGCTGAAGATTCGGAAGTCACAGATTTCCTTTTAATCGCATCGGATGGTCCCTTCCCGATTAATCTCGTTACTTCATTATTCAGCGCTGATACAACAGCTGAAAATCGTGTCACCCATTCGGTTGATCTTAATCGTTCTGATTTCATTTCAATCCCATACTGATAGCCAAACAAACATTCCACTAATGTCCCGTTAAATCTTTTGACAACAGCTTGACTACGGTGGGCCTCTTTTTCCCCACGCCTGATTTCAACATCGTGCTTTGTTAACAGTTTAGTTGCTGATCCAATAAACTCGCAACCGGGATCTACTTGAAATAGCTTAGGCCATTTTAGTGGTCCGCGTTTATATATGCGACTCAGTGCATTAGCTCCTTCTGTTGAATCTTTTGAGGTTAATGGTTCAGCCTCCTTGTAGCGACTAGCCACATCCACTACGGTTAAGGCGTATTTATACGTTTTCATGTCTTACCTTATCATGGGGAAGAAACAAGAGGTCAGCTTGATGAACTTCATTCGTTGTAAAAATATCAAACTTCTTCCTAGGGATATAACGCGGTGCCGGTAAGTATATTTGCCACATCACTTGTTTCTTTAGCCAATCCTTGGCCACATCTTTAGATACCTTAGCCGCGGTGGCTAATTTTTGTATTGCTTCTATACCTTTCCAATATCCTCGCGGGCTATTGTAAATTTTAACCTTTATAAATTAATATTGATGTATCTTTTAATACGAATCATGACGATCGTTGAATCGCATCATCATTTTTGCATAACAAATTCCCTCTGTAGTAGTGGTATAAGTACTGTAAATCTTGAAATTAACGCGAGCGTGAATCAAATGCGAAAAATGCGTGTGGTCTTCGCTCGCATTTTTAAACATCGCATTTATATCAACAATAAGACATTTTGGATAGCAAAAATACCAATTTAGACATACACTGATGTATTCCACACCACTGTTTATTGAGCAGCACTCATGTCATTCAAACACTAATTACGTACTGTGAATTGTCACTGCTGGGGTCAAGACAAGAGTTCTACTCACTTATGTCATCCCTGATCACACCTGCAAGTCCAGACAGACGCCGCCCTTTGTTCTTTGCGACTGCGTCAAAGGCCGACACGAGCCAGCGCGCATGTATTGTTTTTGTGGCAGTACTTTACTTAGCGCTAATAAGCGGTGCTATTTGGTGTGTGATTGGATTAATGTAAGGTTGGATTAAGGTGAGGATTGTAAACCTGACTGAGGACATCTTTAGATAGAAATCCACTGATGCTTGAGAGGAGGGGGTGTCGCATTCATATTGAGTCGCATTTTTGGCTAGGGTCCAGTGGTCGCATTCTTTTGGAGACGCATTAATTTCATGATTTACAGTATATAAATCTGGCTCCAATGGAAGTGGTCCAGAACCATTATTACCTATACTACTCAGTTTGTCCAGCTTGCAATCGTCCAAGGGCTTAGTGTCGCTGATTTCTTGTCAATCTTGGCATGTGGTAGCAATTCAATAACGAATGAATGTTAACCGATCTGGGTGGATTTTTATAGGGCAAGAAATGGGGGAACGCATGTGCATTTCAATTCGCACAGAACTCATGTGCATCGGGTTACCATGGCTGTTGCCGTGATGCGTTTGGGAGATTGGTTTTATTGTCATCTGCTTTGGGGTTTTTTAACATCAAATTTCATTTTTCAGGACAAGGTAATGTTAAATTTTAGAAACTTTGACAAAAATTACCCAGATATTTAAATGGCAACTTTTCATGCAATGTTACTTGGGGTGTCGTTTCTTTTGCAGTTCAGTATATATTTCAAAAACTGCTTTAACAAATATGGTGAAATGAATAGTTGTTACCATGAGGAATATTACAAAGAGATCATTCTGTGCTCTCAAATTAGGGGCGGTCGGGTAGCCTAGTGGTTAAAGCGTTCGCTCATCACGCCGAAGCCCCGGGTTCGATTCCCGACATGGGTACAATATGGGAAGCCAATTTCTGGTGTCCCCCCCGCTGTGATATTGCTGGAATATTGCTAAAAGCAGCGTAAAACCATACTCTCTCACTCACTCCTCTCAAATTACACAGATCTCATTATACAGCCAAGTAACATCAACACTTTTCTTTATGAATGGCTCTAAAATTCACGAAATATGATATTCAGCTTACTTTGAATGTATATTATTGAAAAGAATCCAAGGAACACTGGAAATTGTTTGCAGATTTTAACTTGCATTTGTGTTTATAATCTTTAATGCAATTGTTTGCCATCAAATGACAAAAACACAGCCTCAAAGGTCTTGTGGTAGAGCATCTGCCCGGAGAGCTGAAGGTCTGGTGTTCGAACCCTGGACGCGGCATACAAAAAGATGTTACTTGTTGTTACCCTGCCTAGCAGTCAGTATTAAGGAGCTAAAACAAGGACTGGTTGACCTGGAGTCAGTATACTATGGCTGAATAAGGTATTCATGTAAAACGGGTTCACTGCTTAATATCAGGTTTGACCACCTCTGTTATTATACCCCCGTTTACGAAGTAAATCGGGGGTATATAGCGTTCTGTTCGTCCGTCATTCCGTCCGTCCTTCTGTCCAAGCTTTTGTACGGCCCATAACTTTTTAACCATGCACCCTAGCTTCACCAAACCTGCTACATACATTTCCCACAATGAGTACTTGTGCTTTTGCTAGTTTGAAGATTCTGAACTTTTTCATTTTTGCCGTGGAAACATTAAGAAACTTAAACTTTTAGGGTGAGTGTTTTGTACGGCCTATATCTTTTTAACTATGCACCCTAGCTTCACCAAACTTTCTACACACATTAACCACAATGAGTACTTGTGCCTTTTGCTAGTTTGAAGATTCTGAAATTTTTTGGAGTCCTACCTGCCGGAAGCACATCTTGTCTCTGTAGCCCAGAGCATTCAAATTACTGTAACCTAAACTTGGTACAGGGGAGCTCTGTAGTTGAAACTGAATCCAGCCCAGTTCATCACTGATCAATCTCCAAACGAGTGCCCCTCTCCCCTTCTCTGGCGTTTGCGTCAACAAAACTGTCACCAGGACGTAGGTACACTCCATTATGGCCATCATTGAACTGCAAACTAAAGCATCTGTTAACAAAGTACTGTTTCACAGGTGCCTGTACTCCGAAGATGCTGTTGAAGTGGTATATGGACAGTTTGTCGTCTTGATCTCAAGTTTGCCTCTCAAAAACTATCCCTAATGGCCTGGGTCTCATTCCACAACGCGAGAGCTAAGATGATCGTAACTCCCATTCTTTAATAAAGGCTCACAACAGTCGTAGCTCTACGATCGATTTGTGGAACGGGACCCAGGTCACCAAAGTTCGTGTTCACAGAATTCCTAAGCTGTATTCTAAGAGCACTAGCAGTATTGGTGCGTTGGCAGAGTGGCATCAGAATGATGCATCTATCCAGAGCTCTTGTGATTTGTGGCTGACCAGGGCAACATAGTTCCTGCACTTGTCCTGCTTGCTGAAAGCGTACCCATAGCCTGTGAATGACAAATGGGGACACATTAAGGTGTCGTGCCATTTCACTGAAACTGATGCCTTGAAAATGTGATAATGCTTAGTGCACATATTCATGAATTTGATAATGACTGTCCATTTGGCTGTCTATACCCTTTTGAGGACACTCGGTTTTTTCAGGCAGAAATATCAGTTTTGGAATCAAAGGAGGGAGGAGGGTTGTTTGGGTTTTTTTTGTTGGTTGGCAAAGCAATGATGAAAGCGTTCTTTCGGGAGAGTTTGGTGGCCCTGAATCAGGCTGTTTGATCGGGAGAGACTAACTTCTCACCCACATAGGTGCTGTGCTGCAAAGGCACGGATGGATCGTCATCTTTCTTCTGACAGGACACTTACTGGTGTGGCTTAAACGCCTCACGTAAGTGTCCTTCAGTACGGTATGACAATAGACGCACTGAAACGTCCCATCACGTGCCTTTGTGCCATGAGCATAGACTGGCTGGCAGCCTTTGCACATACTGCATTGCCGTGGAGGCGATGGCAATGGTGCTGTCTTTGTAGAATGGGTGTCTCCGTTCTCCATAGCCTTTCCTTTCCCAGGGGATTGAGCTGGGGCACTCTTACTACGAGCCTTTCCTCTGGGGAATGTAGCCGGGGGGAATCTTGCCGGGGGAATAAAGATAAAGAAGACCCAGAAGAAAAAAACAAGCAAACCATCATCAACAACAGCAACAACAACAGCAGCAGCAACAACAACAACAGAATTTTTTAAACCTGCAACACCTGCAAAAAGGCAACCACAGAAGAAGTTGGCGCTGAAGATACCTCATCAAGACAGCTGTAAGTACCATGCTATTCTATGAAATGTGGATATGGATGTGTATGCCCTTATTGTTATAATGAGTATCACGAATGCATGAATGATGATCATGGGTATACTTATGGGTTTTTATCCCCCGCCGGGCCAGAATGGCTGAAGGGGGATTATGTCGTTGCGCAGTCCGTCCGTCTGTCCGTCCGCGTCCGTCTTGTCCGTCCCTGACACTCTACACACAAGATGTCAACATGTTGATGATACACATATCGCAGTCCCGTTTCATTTCGACTAATTTTGACCAAGTTACTGCCCCTATTTTACGGAGCTTCATTTGCCTAATTGTGAGAGAGGTACTAAGCTTGTGAAATCAACTCCTCCTCCAGCTTTTAGAGAATATCCCTGACACTCTACACACAAGATGTCGACATGTTGATGACACACATATTGCAGTCCCGTTTCATTTCGACTAATTTTGACCGAGTTACTGCCCCTATTTTACAGAGCTTCATTTGCCTAATTGTGAGAGAGGTACTAAGCTTGTGAAATCAACTCCTCCTCCAGCTTTTAGAGAATATCCCTGACTCTCTACACACAAGATGTTGACATGTTGATGATACGGATATCGCAGTCCCGTTTCATTTTGACTAATTTTGACACAGTTACTGCCCCTGTTTTACGGAGCTTCATGAAATCTACTCCTCCTCCAGTTTCCAGAGAATATCACAATATCTAACTATAACTATAACTATAGTTAGTTTCCTTGTATAAGGCTTTTGTGGGTGAGCTACATCCTTATGGCATTACTCCAAACAAAATGTTCTGCACAATTGTTTCAAATGCAGTGCCATCTACTGTTGTTATTTCATAAAATACAAAGAAAATATAAACTCGTTAAAAAAATTCATGTGGGGGGGATGTTGTGCTCTCAGAGCACTTTTGTTTCCTTGTATGATTGACAGGACACCCATCCTTCCTTCCCCCAATGTCAGTTCAACGCAGACAGTGTTGGAACAGTGGTGGGAACAAACCCCTCGGAAACCAACCTATTCACCTAACCCACCTGTGAATGATGATCAGTGACGATGATGAGGCATGCAAGTTGGCAGGACTCCCTTCCATGGCGGTGGACATGCCCACCCTGCTTGATGCTTCTTGGTCACCACCATCACCGGAGAATGTCCTCTCCTCAGGTATGCCAACAGTTCGCGATGACGACAACGACAACGATCCTTATCGAGAGGCTCAACCCACTTCAATACAGCGTGAATGTAGTGTCTGCCACCATAACAACATGTTGAAATACATAAGCTGCAACAGTGGTCAAGTGATATGTCATGTCTGTTTCAGGGAGGCCATAGACTGTACCTGTTTTACTGAGGGGTCCCAATCATTTTTGGGACCTGTTTGGGACATTATGATGAATGACCACTTCTTATGGTGACCCCATCTTCACTTGAAGAGCTTGACGATGGAAGATGGAAGATGAAAGGTTTTCGCGTTCTTTGAGGGACATGTTAAGCACTCCCTCCTCAGTTGTCTTTCGTATTTCCTATGTATCGGGGTTGATGTTGTTGTTGTTGTTGTTCATCATTAAACAGTGATTGATTGAACTGACTCTTTGTCTCTTGATTTATCTCAACTCCAATAGGGTGCCAAACCGAGGGTAGAGGCTGAGTTGAGATGTAAACACTGTCTGTCATGTCTGTGCACATTCGAGTTGTAAAGTAAACAAAAAATAAAAGAGAAAGGCCATGCTTGAAAGGATCAGTTGCCTTGTGTCAGTCACCCAGAACTCAGGATGGTGTCACGTGGTGATGAAGAGGTCATGACCTCACCTTTGACCCTACGCCACCCTTTTAGGATGTTCATTGGACCCACGGGATCAGAAAAAAGTGCCTTTGTGATATCATGAATGGAGCAGATGCATCGGCCTGAGGTGTTGGATACACCACCCCATCGCATCGTGTTGGGTGTACAGTGAATGGCAACCTCTTCATCATGAGTTGGAGGGATGGCAGACTGCTTAAGGGGGTCCCTCTTGAGTTTGTACAGAGCATGAAAGAAGTGGATTGTGCCTTGCCAGAAAAAGGGGTGGCCCCGCATTGGTTGGTCATCGATGATTTGCTGGGCGACAATACAAAAGAAGAAGAAACGGAAATGTTGCGTTTATTCACCAAGAAAAGTCATCACCGAAACACATCCGTGTTGAATCTCACTCAGAACTTGTTTGCCTAATCACCGCAACATCGCACCATTAGTCTGAAGGCTCTCTACATGGTCCTCTTTAAAAATCCGAGAAATCCGCAAATTGACAATCTGGCTCGCCAGGTGTTTCCAGGCAAAGCTCTTTTTCTGCGTGAAGCCTATGAAGACGCCACCAAAGAACCTTACACTTACCTGTTCTTGGACTTGAAACCCACCACGTTGCAAGACCATCGAGTATGTGTCCACCTGTTTTCGAGATCCGAGGTACCCATCGTGTATATGCCGAACCTATGAGTTGAGAGGAGATTTCATAAAAGCATGTGAACCCGCTGACCTTCCTTCAGTTGAGCAACAGCCATCATGGGGCAAAGACGGTCTATGAATGCCATACCACCATTCCAAGATGTCCCTGATACCGAGTGGGTGTCTGAAAAGGTGAGAGAACAAGCGAGAAAAAACACACTCTTAATGGACGACACATGGGCAACTCAGTGACATTCTGGAGGTCCGACCTACTCCTGTACGAAAACGAAGATAAGCAGTCAAGGCCATTTCGCTGCAGATTGCCCAGAACCCCGCAAGAAGACTCCGGATGGTCCATGCTAACACTTTGCCAAGCCGTTGGCCATTTGTTTTCCAGTTTTCCAGTTTCCAATAGTTTCCAGGTTTCCAGTTTCCTACAGTTTCCAGTTTGTTTCCAACGGCCCTTTTCAGGGCCACCCGACACTCCCGAAAGAAACGCTTTTATCACTGCTTTGCCAACACAAACAACCCCACCCCACCCCAAAAAGAACCCCACATGCTTTAGGTCAGAGGAAGAGACCTCGGTAAAGCTCAGGCCAAGCCCAAGTCCCAGGAGAAATCCACCCCGGCCCCTGCCATAACTGCACCACGCCCAGTGCAGAAAATCAGGCCCCCAAGGAGGAAGGAGTCCCCTTCAGTCTCCACCATGGAGATCGAGGAGACCCTCCCCCTCCCCCGCAGTCCTCATTTAGCAGCAAAGGACCTCGCTCCCCTCGAATCCAGAGGGGTGGAGCCTTTCTTTGCACACCTGAGGGCACTTGGCATGGGAAGAAAAAGAGGAAGAGACTTCCGACACTACCCCCTGTCCAACTCCGACGCCGACCAAGTCCATCGAGTGCAAGACTGCCATAGCACCACACCAACGACAGCCACACCCAGACCGCCATACCACCAGTCCCTTCCCTCAAAGACAGTCACCCGGTCAAGGTGCCAAATCCTGCTGTCCCGGAAAGCGGCCGAAATAATGGACCTTTATATACAAAGACCAACCCTCCCCGGTAATCGGAGAACAAGCTCTACCCCAGCAGCCGCCCACGACCACCACTGGTCATGGTACAACTGATCGAGGACCAGCGCTTCGAGCATGAAATCCACAACTTCCAGGACCTCAACGGGTCCCTGCTAGACTGTGATTCCCCCCCCCCCCCCCCCCCCCCCCCCAGCACAATCCCAAACTTTCCATATTGTCGTATATTCTTTTATCCCCAACTCCCACCCAGCCAAACCCCTCCCCCTTAGCTTTATTAAAATAGGCCTGTATAATTTTATATTTTGGGGGGTTGCACTTCTTTATTTATTCTTTAGGCTTTTTTTCCCCCCAATAAGTGCAACCCCGTGTGCGACATACGCTATAGTGTAATTTATTACACGCGGAAAGCGCACGTTAAATCTCCAATGACCTACCTACCTCGAGAGGGTTCAGTTTACTTGTGAAAAAATCATCATCATCACACCGAGAATGTCAGAGACGAAGAGCTGTACGGATGCTTGTGAGACCAGGATTCTGCTTGGGACTGAGGGTGGTGGATTCTCGTGGACCCAGGAGTGAGTGTTACGGATGCTTAAAAATTGTGATGGTAAGCCGCCGCCCCATTATCTACAATTTGAAAGAAGACTAGCCTCGTTTGATCAACCAGACCGCTGAAGACCACCATGCGGGCTTCCTGTACACGCAAAGTGCCGATGGTGTGTACTGCTTTCACTGCGGCGTGCGGCTGAGAAGATGGGCGCCCCACTACGATCTTTGGCTGGTACACCTCAAGTGGTCCTCTCACGGCGCCTACCTCAAGCTGACCGGGCTGGTGAGACACAAGAAGAACGTGGCAGCTACTACTTACTGGCACTATCCGTGCGAGGAGAATGCGAATCAGAGCAACACGAATGAGTAAGCTTTCCGCCTTCCTAGAATGAAGTTTCCGTTCCTGTTCTATTCCCCTTCCAGTTCCTGTTCCCGTTCCAGTTTTTGTTTTGGCCAACGGCCCTTTTCAGGGCCCTCCCAACTCTCCCGAAAGAACGCTTTCATCATTGCTTTGCCAATGAACAACAACAAAAAACTCCTCCCTCCTCCTCATCCCTCCCTCCTCCTCCTTCCTCCTCTTCCTCCCTCTGCTTGCAAACCGGGATCGCCATGATTTTACCCGCGCTTCATTTAGTGAAGTGGAGGATTTTACGCGCGCTTCTCCTCCCTGAAATGGACATGCCGCCATCTTGGAGGCGCACGCCTCCTGGAACCGGACGTGTCGCCATCTTTAAGGCATGCGCACGCCCTCCCGGAAACAGACATGACGCCATCTTGGACGCCTACGGTTGAGAGCTCCGTCATTTCTCAGGAATCTGCATGTAAACCAGTTCGGCACGACTTGTGATATTTTCTTCGCAGGCAAATAGGTCCTTCCCTCTGATCCGTAGCAGGAGAGGCTCATCGTTTTGACGTTGTGTTCGATCGTCCAACGTCACCCTTGACGATGCCCCATGCCAACTCGATTGAATTCAGGTCGCAGTGATAAGGTGGCAGTCGTAAGACAGCGTGAGACCCTCACCTTTATACACGGGGTCAGGTTTCATAGTTTTGATGATTTCATAGAGCTGTGGTTTCGTCGCTCAGAAAGGAAAGGTAATGGTCCTCCGTTGCAGCCAAGTAACCATGTCTCCTTTACGGTTATTAGAGGTTGGAGTCTTGTTTTTTGGATCCTGCACACTATGATACGGTGCATTGTCCATGACAATGAGAGACTTGGTAGGCAAAGCAGGGACTAACTTATCTTTCACCCACTCCAGAAATACATTTGCCGTTCATTTGTGTGTGGTAGTCCCTGTTGTCTTTGGCCTTGGCTCTAAAGACGAGGTCACAGTCTGGGAGAAACCCTGACTAGCAGAACCAGCATGGAGAACTATGAGTCTTTCACCCTTTCCCAGACTCCTTACAGTCACCCCATGTCTCATTAAAGAAGAGAGGCTCATATCCTTCTTCACGTTTCTGCTTGATGGTACGAAGATAATGATTTCGGAGACGAACAATGTCAGACCGTTCACACAACACAGCCCTATTTTCTCCAGTTTCTTTTTGTATTTGTAACCAAATGTATGCAACAGCTGCCATAGTTTGTACTTTGTAACACGTAAATCATGGTCAGTTTCAAGGTGTTTCTTCAAAGTTCTTAGGGACAGGTAATTATTTTCTGAGTGCAATTTAGCAATTGCACGTCTGACTTGATCCCTCTGAAAACTGTCTAATTTATCAACCTTGCTCGGTTTTGACTAGACTAAAATCTAGTCTCTGGAAAGAACATATCGTACATAAAAAAACAGTTGTTCAGTTATCTTAATAAAAATATAATAAAAAGGAGCCCAGTGACTCTCTTCATTTTCTGATACTGCAGTGATCTAGACTTGCCAAACATTATAGACTTGCATGGGCTGTATTTGATATATATTTGTATCAGGGTCTGTAAGACAGACTAGGTTTTGACATGTTTCCCTACCTCCTTGGTCTGAGGTATTTGTATCTCGTTGACTAACAACATTTTTAAGTTTCTGAGGGGACATACCATGAGCCTTTGAAGCTCGTTTCAAGAAATAATTAATTGCTCTTTCTGCTTCACTTCTAAAGAAATCATACACATTCAACATCAACTGTTTAACATGATCACGGTCACTGTGTAGCACGTGCAGACCTTGCTTCCGCTGTTCCTTCCACGGTTTGTCCCCCTACGTGTCATGTACACATTTCTATACAAAATTACATGATAGAACATCATCCGTCATGGGTCTTAAAATAAACAATATTCAGATTTTGATGTTTCATACACTTTTCTGGATTTCGAGTTCTTTTGCAATTCATCGTTCTCATTTGGAGTCAAACGGACTGTACTAAAGAATCTGAAACTCAACTTGAAATGGCAAAATTTATCAAAATATCAAGCCTGCGTCGAAGAAATTGATTTGTATATTTGCTGAAATAAATAACATTGACATTATGATCAGGGTTTTTTGCACAGCTTTATCCATTTCATTCAAAGTTCAGAAATCGACTCGAGCATTATATGCATACAAAAGTGAGTGATATCAGAGTTGTCAAGAACAATTCCTTATGATTGTCCACAAGTAGATCAATAATCAGCCTACATCAAATTATGGTTTCTTATGGTATATAACACATCGAGGTCGGTGAATAACACACAAGATCACAAGCCAAATCGAGCATACATCTAAGCATTGTTCCGATGTAGCAAATATTGGGCATCCTACCCTGATATTTTAAGAGTAAATTTGTTCCAAGTTGTGCAAAAGATTTTCACCTGGGTAACATCACATGTTAAAGAAGTGCTTCAAAAACATGTGTTCCATGTGTTAGGAGATTATAGTGGAATCAGGCACACGTACCTAGAACAGAAGAATTGGAAAAGTACTCATATATGGTTTCCAGTGGTATATCACCCCCGGCAAAACCGGGCGAAAACGTGATATAAGGGTACCATACTTTTGAAAGGCTGTAACAAAAAGTTCGTCCCAACTTTTTTCTGTTTTCATGGGCTTTAAAAAAATTTAGTGGGGTTTGGATGTGTGTGTGTGGGTCATACCTAGCCCACGGCCTTGTTACATCAAGCCCAAATTTTAAATCTTTAACACTTAAAATATATGTTTTTTAACATTCAACTTTCGTGCAAGAACATTCCCTAGATCACATTTTGATCTGTTGCATCCACAATGCAACCGAAATATTCATAGCTTCATGAAACTAAAGTATAAAGGGTCTGAAAACAATGTAGGAAAACAAATTAATTATAATTGATCAAGGTCCATCTTCTCGTTTGCATTGAGGACATGGTACACAAGGTCGATGACTTAGGGCGTCTGCATTCCAATGAATGCACCCAGGTCTACGAACTTCATTTAAGTCATAATTCTTGTAACCATCTGATTTACAGGTTTCTTAATCCGCTTGGCCCTAAACCACAGCAGAATTATCAGTTCTTATAATGACGGTCAAATACATAGGGATGCCAGTACCGGCAAGTACTACTACAAGAAGTTCACGTCGAGTTGAGGAAAACCAACAATCGGAGCTCATAAAATCTTCGTCTTCTTCACTACTCCACTGGAACTACTAGTTCACTCAGACAGTCTGGTTAATGGTTTTGCAATTTTTGAAAAGTTTTCAACAAATCGCCTGTAGTAATTTGCTAAACCTAAAAACCTCATGTTTTGAGGTTTTCAGATTTAGCAAATTACTGTCTTCTCGTAATTTTGGTGTAGGCCATTCTTTTAAAGCTTTTATTTGATCAAGTTGTGTGTGGACACCATCGGCTGAAATCACATGCCCTAAAAAGTTCACTTTTGTCTGAAACAAGTGACATTTTTTAGGTTTCAGCTTCAACCCAGCTGCGGAGAGACCATTTTGAATCGTTCAATACATTCCTCATCAAACGCTCAAAACGCACTTGGTGAATTGCACCGACCGAATGGCATTACTGTCCACTCATATAACCCAGATCTTTTTTGCTTGAAAAATTCAACAAACGGCAGTCACAACAAAATCTGTAACGGCGATCACTACGCGTCACTTTTACAGTTGGTGAAGCCCAAGGACTAGTAGAGGGTGTGATTACACCTTGTTCTAACATCCGACCAACTTCTTTGTTCTCTGCTTCACGTTTTGCAAGTGCCTGGCGCCTACGGGATTGCCTGTATTGATAGTGTGCTTGGCCCCCAAATCATCGTCATTCTTTGCAAAAGTACAGAGGAAATGACATTTTCTAATTTCTCCTTTTGAGATTTACTTGAGGACATTGAGGACATTGAGGACATTGAGGACATTGAGGACATTAAGTTTTACAATATTCTTGACCTTTTTGTTAGAAGGAACTTTGACATTGAGCCATAATTCTACCAGAGTTAGGAGTAATTAGAAATTGTCACATTATTTAGCTGCATTAGCCCTGTTTGACAACACCATTACATAAAGAAGACAACTTTGTAATAAAATCTCATTTACATGGCTCAACAAGAATATTCTTAGTGTTCTGTTGATTATCAGGCAAGGACAGTTTAACATAAGACATTGACTGTGGTGGGAACAAGGTATCATCAGCTACTATTTGCAGTACTTATCAGCTGCAAAAGTATGTAACCAATCTCCCTTTAATTTGATCTTGTGTTCTGCTAGATCAACAACAGCACCTAGAGCAGTGAGTATGTCCATGCCCAAAATACCATCAACTTCGAACGACAAGAACGAGGAAGACGCTTGTATTATCTAGGAAATATCAAAGACACCTGGCTACCAGTGTCCACTAAACAAGGTAAAGTAAGTGTTACCAAGTATTCCATTCACTTACTGGCCTTCATCGCCTATTTTAAAACAAAGGTAACATCATTGCAATAGCTCGCTGTGATTCAGCTGTGTGAAAATATTGTCGTTGTGCCTCTTCTGCAATCCTATCATTTTCCAGTTGATAAGCGAAGGTCTGTTTCTCATATCTGACACTCCCATTGTACCCGCTTTACAAACTAAGTTCACCTATTTAGATTGATAGATTATGTGATGAGAAAGAATAATATTTTGGTGTGCTCAATTTTTTTCACTGCGGTCACCCTGAAATCCAAGATGGCCGCCACTTTTCTACCTAACCTATTAACTTCACTATATATCCCATTTGTTTATCAAATATTAATCATAAATCACTTCTGACCATGAACAGCTGATGTGTAATATATATATATTTTGTTTGGGCACCAAATTTAACATTTTAGAACGGAATTACTAGTTCAAAATGGATGCCAAGTTCAAATTAATTATATTCTTTAATAGAAAACAGGGTATTTTTAGTATGGATATACCAATCAGAACTGCAATTTGGAATAGGATAATACAAATTAACCACTTTCGGGTTCAGTAAATATTCATTAAAGGTATATTAGGTTTCATAAAACTACAAATAATGACCAAAAATATGTAATTTATCTGTCAATAAGGGCGAGAAATTAAAAAGCATAGCATCATAAACTATCTTCTGCACTGCACATGCATTCAGTATATTCAATGAACAGTTAAAAAAACAAATAAAAAAACAAAAAACATTTAAATTGCTTATAAT